AGGAGGAGGACGAGGCCGAAGACGAGGAGGAGGAGGAGGAGGAGGAGGAGGAGGGGGAGGATGTGGAGAGGGAGAAGGAGAATAAAGACCAGAAGAAGGCAGACGAGGTGGGTGTCTCTTCGGGATTTTTTTGGAATATCTTGGGGCCTGTGGGTCTCTTGTGGCCTCTTGGGGGCCTCTTTGTTGGGCCGTCTTGGAGCCATCTGGGGCCGTTCTGGGGCCGTCTTGGGCTATCTAGGCCATCTTTGAGAGCATCTTGGATTGTCATGGAGGCCATGTGGGCCGTCTTGAACTACATTCACGGCCTCTTGGGACTCTTTGGTCATCTCCCAGACCATCGACGACAGTTGTGGGCCATCTTGGAGGCCGTCTTGGGCCATCGTGGCCATGTTGCAAATCGTTTTGTGGGATGTTCTTTTATTTCGGGGTGGCCGGCGGGATGCGCCGACGGCTGTTGGCAACGTTTTGGAGGAGCCAAAACGAGCTATCCTAATTGGCACGCCAAGCACACCTTTGCAAGCAAAGGGGCGGCGCATCTAGTGGCTTTCGGTCCAGATCGCCACCGTGCCTGGGTTGTGGGCCAGAGGTCTCTCGAATGCTGGTCGGAAGCCTCTCGGAGGGATCTCTCTCGGGTGCCTCTCGGAGGCCTCTTGATGGGGCTCTCCGGGCCTCTTCGGTGCCTCTGGGGGGGCCTCTTGGAGGCTTCTTGGAGGCCTGCCTCTTGGGCGCTTCTGGGCGTCTTTGGGGGGCTATCTTGGGGAGACAGGCTCCCAATGCCAGACCGAGTTCCCCCTTTTGGGCCGTCTTAGGACCCTCTTGGGCAGTTTCTGGGCTTTCTCGGGGGCTTCTTGGGCCGTCGTGGGGCGATCTCGGGGGCCTGGCGGGCCATCTTGGAACCCCTGGAGATCATCAGCGCGAGCACACCAAAATCACGTAACCACAGAGTGGAGATCGATGGTTTTGTCGTCTTGGAGCATTCTTGTGATCCCTCTTGGGGCCCTCTTCTTGGGGCGTCTTGGCAGCCTCTCGGGCCGTCTGGAGGGCATCTTGGGCGCCCTGGGGCGCTCTTGGGCCGACTCGGAGCCCTCTTGTATGGTCTCGGGGCCTCTTTGGAGCCTCTTGGTCCGTCTCGGTGTGGCGCTCTCTGGTCTCTGGAAAAGTCACGCGACCCGACCCAGAAGTCATGCGAGCAGCCCCCGGACACTGGGCAGGTGGGGCCGTGAGAGCAGAGCCGTTGGGTGTACAGGAGCCGGAAGAGCTTGGAGACGCTTCGCTCAGTGCAACGGCGCGGTGGCGGGTATTCACATATGCGAAAGAGCGCGTTCTACCGCTGCTGGCGGAAAACCAGGGGGGGTCACTGGGGGTTCCTAACCCGTCCCCCCCCCCCTCGAAAACCGAAGGGGGGTCACTACCGGTTTGAACCCCCCTCCCCCCCCTTCCCCAGTCCATCATGAAAAGGGGGGGTGGCGTCACTACCGGTTCGAACGCCCCCCCCCTCTCGAAATCGAATCCCCCCCCCCCTCGCCGCCGGGACAGTGGGAATGTGGTGGAAACAGTGGGACAGTGGAGGGTACAGTGGTGGTGGCGACAGTGGTGAGGGGCGGTGGCGAGGACGGCGGTGGGATGATGGGACAGAGGTACAGTAGGGACAGTGGTGGGGACAGTGGGGACAGTGGTGGGAACAGTGGGACAGCTCAGTGGGACAGCGGCGGGGACAGTGGGACAGTGGGACAGTGGGGACAGTGGGACAGTGGTTGGGGCCGTGGAGAAAGTGGGGAGAGTGGAACCGTGGTGGGAACAGTGGTGGGGACAGTGGGGACAGTGCGACAGTGGGTGGGGCACTGGTGAGGACAGTGGTGACGGTGGTGGGAACAGTGGGGACAGTGGTGGTGAGGACAGTGGTGCTGGGGACAGCAGTGGGGGATGTGGTGCGGACGGTGGTAGGGACCCAGAGTTGTTTGCTGGCGGTGAGCGTGGGGGGGGGGGGGGTTCGAACCGTAGTGACCCCTCCCGGTTTTCGAGAGGGGGGGTGGGGTTCGAACCGGTACTGACCCCCCCCGGTTTTCGAGAGGGGGAGGGGGGTTCGAACCAGTAGTGACCCCCCCCCGTTTTCGAGGTGGGAGGGGGCGGGGGGGGGCTTCGAACCAGTAGTGACCCCCCCCAGTTTTCCGGAGGGTGGGGGTCGAACCGGTAAGTGACCCCTCTCTGGTTTTTCTGGGAGGGGGGGGGGTTTCGATCCGGTAGTGACCACCCCCGTTTTTCCGGAGGGGGGGGGGGGGGCGGGGGGGGTTCGAACGTAGTGACCCCCCCGCGTTTCCGGACGGGAGGGGGGGGTTAGGGGGGGGGGGTTTTGCCGGGGGGGGGGGCAGGGGTCCAGTAGGGGGGGGGGATTTTCGGAGGGGGGGGATCCCCGGGTTCCGGAGGAAGAGGGGGGGGAATTTTCCACAGGAAAGCGGCGGTGGATCACGCTCTCTCACATATGCGGGGCGGTCTCCATTTGCTCTCGGCAGCGCTTCCAGATGCGGCGGAACGCACAGGGGGTGTTCATTGTCTGACGACCTGCATTGCGACCTCTCTTCGGAACGCCAGCGTGGAGCATGAACTTCTGAAGCCTACATCCCCTCGGATGAGGCTCAGCAACACTGTCCACTGAGCATGCGTGCGTGCGTGCAGGCGGGCGAGGCGCGAAACATCGGCTGTGCAGGACCGGCGTATCTAGAGTGCGTCTGAAGAGCGGCAAGGAGGGCAAGACGCCGATGGAGATCTTCTTCGTCGGGGGGCTGGGCTGGTTCGCAGAAAGAAGTGCCATAATGCCGCAGGGACGCATGGCTTATACAGATGCTCTTGCGACTTCGCTCCTGTCTAGATCTGACATGCTGGCCACCAGGTCTTTTTTTTGTGGTGGTGGTGGGGGGACGAGTTCGGATCACCAGCTTGAATCGCAGCTGGTCTCTCAGTCGGGCACGTGCGGGCTGTGGTTTCGAGCTCGTTTCCAGTGCCTCCTGCTCCTGCCACTGCTCCCCTGCCTCCTCTTTCCTGTTTCTTGCGCGCACTAGCAGGCTCGTGAATGTTTTCGTTCCGTCTGTGGTCAGAAGGAAGAAGGCTTCGCGCGTCCATATTGACATTCACGCGTGAACTTTGTTCTCCGCTGGAGTGTGAGTGATGCGATCGCTTGTGCTATCACTAGAGCTGAACTGCATCATAGCGCCGCCCAGTGCGCTCATACTGAAGCCATGTTCTCCTGGGGTAACAGGCGGGCCCCGTCGAGCAGTGCACGAAACGCAGGACACAAACGAGGTAAAACCATGCAGGATAGGTGTTTGCCTATTGCAGGTTGGCTTGTGCGGGTTTTTCCCGGTTTGCCTTGCGACCTTTTGATTCGCGATGTGGTTGTGTCACCCATCGGGCTTTGTGTCTGGGGGAAAAACAAGCATGCAGGATTGATTCGGAGGAGCAGGGGCAAGCGGAAGCGAGGGGTGCCCGCAGGCGCGCGGAAGACTTTTTCCTCCGACGCGCCGCTGACTCCGAACAACGGGTGCGTGGTAACGGGACGCGTTTGCCACGAGTTAGCTTCCTGGTGAAGCGGCGCGGTAAGTCTGCAGGCCTGATGACCTCGTGTAGGCGCCACCAAGACAGAAAAACCAGGTGGTGCATGGAACGGAGGCGCGAGTGAAGGCGCAGCGCCCACTGTTGGCACGAACGAGGAGGGAGGAGGGAGGAGGAGGAGGAGGAGGAGGAGGAGGAGGAGGAGGAGGAGGAGGAGGAGGAGAAGGCGACGGATGATGATGATGATGATGATGATGATGAGGAGGAGGAGGAGGAGGAGGAGGACCAGCGTAAACCCAAGAGCCATCAACGATGTTGGAATACACCCTCCCTCCAAGCTTCCTCTTCATAGGCCCCTAGAACGGTTCATTTCCATTAAGGGATCTGTCTCGTTGGAAGACAACCGTATGAAGACCCGGAAGCATGCTAAAACATTGTTCTCGGGTTTCCAACGCCACGGATCAACCTGACTGTTGTGTCTTGACGATCCTGGATCGTGCCAGAACGTCATTCTTGGGATTTCTACACCGCGAATCAACGTAACTGTTGCAGCCGCAAAATCCGGAATCCTTCTAAAACCCAATTTCTGGTACGTTGATCGTGGGAATCCGTAAAACTCTTGCACATTTTATGAACGAATGTGCGTGGCGCTAAGGCGAGAGCCACATTTTGAAAAGGAACCGCCCTCAATCCGTGAAGCTCTTGCAAATTTTTAGAAGGAATGTGCGCGGCGCTAATGCGAGGGCCACATTTTGAAAACCGCCCGCCCTCCATCTGTGAAGCCGTCGCCAATTTTTCAGAGCCATCTCAGGCGAAACGCCCGGCCCGCCCTAAAAGCTGGCCTCGGGGTGCGACAGGGAAAAGTTATTTATAAGCAAAAGGAATGGAGGAACAGGAGGAGGAGAAGGAGGAGGAAGAGGAGGAGGAGGAGGAGGAGGAGGAGGAGTACCAATGTAAACCCGAGACGCATCAACGTTGTTGCAATAATCCTCCCTCCAATGCCCCATTGTAGGACAACTGTGCGAAAATATTGAGCCAAAACAAACTTCCTGGGACTTCAGTGCCGCGAGTCAACGTGACTGCTGCGTCTGGCCATCTTGCATTTTTCCAGAGCGCCATTGCTGGGACGTCTACCGTAGGAATCTTCGAAGCTGCTGCAAGCTTCTGCGACGAATGTGCGTTGGGCATGTGCCAGTGCTGTGTGTGTGTGTGTGTGTGTCTGTGTGTGTCTGTGTGTGTGGGGTCTCCAGAGATAGCCGCGGGGGGCCTCTCAGAAGCCCTCCCTGCCCTCCAAGGGCGGCCTTCTGAGAAGTCCGAGCTTCTGTGCCGTGGGGGCATCTGCGCGTCTGCCGCCGATTCCGGCCTCCGTGGCCCGCTTCTGGGCCTTGGGGGCCATGGATTTGGTGGGAAGCGCTGGCCCCCCCGGGGAGGGGGTCGGGACCTCTGGGCCCCGAGGTCTTCGGAGAGGCCCCCTCGGCCTTTCAGGAGGCCCCCCCCTCCCCTTCGCCCCCCCTGCCGCACAGGGGTGGGGAGGGGTTCGACCCTATCCCCCGCGCGCTCGCCGCCGGCAGACGTCGTCGTCGTTGTCGTCGTCGTCGTCGTCGTCGTCGTCGTCGTCGTCGTCGTCGTCGTCGTCGTCGTCGTTGTTGTCGTTTTTGGCGCGCCACCAGAGGGGGGCACCATGGGGCAGCAAAGGCGGTGGCGCTGGGCGCGGCCGCTCCGCCGTGCGCTCCTATAGGTGCAGGGGGGGGGGAGGAGGAGGGGGAGGGAGGAGGGAGGAGGAGGAGGAGGAGGAGGAGAGGAGGAGGAGGAGGAGGAGGGGGAGGGAGGAGGAGGAGGGGGGGAGGAGGAGGAGGGGGAGGAGGGGGAGGAGAGGAGGAGGAGGAGGAGGAGGGGGAGGAGGGGAGGAGGAGGAGGAGGAGGAGGAGGGGGAGGGGAGGAGGAGGAGGAGGAGGAGGAGGAGGAGGAGGAGGAGGAGGAGGGGAGGAGGAGGAGAGTGAGGAGGAGGGAGGAGGAGGAGGAGGAGGACAGGAGGAGGAGGAGGAGGAGGGGGAGAGAGAGTCAAATGGGGCTTGGACGAGGAGAAACCCGTGCCGGAGCGTGGTGCCCGAGACCTCCTGCAGAGCCGCGGCTCTCAGAGATATCTCGATGCATCCTCGCCCGATTTTGCCCTCGTCGTGGCCTCGTTCCTCTCCTCTCCTCCTCTCCTCCTCCTCCTCCTCCACCTCCTCCTCCTCGTCTCCTCGTCTCCTCCTCTCCTCCTCCTCCTCCTCTCCGTCTCTCCTCCTCCTCCTCCTACTCCTCCTCCTCCGCGGCAGGCGCCGATGGGGGGGGGCGAGGTCGACATGGTGCAGCTGGACCCCCGTCGGGCAACAAGCGCTCGATCCGCCGCCCCGGCCTCCTGCCCTGGTGGCCCGCTGGGGCACCCCTCCCTCCCTCCCTCCCTCCCTCTCCTCCCTCCATCCACCCATCCATCCATCCATCCATCCATCCCTCATCATGCTCTCCTCCTCCTCCTCCTCCTCCCCCTCTCCCCTCGCGCGGGCGCCCCCCCCCCTCGTCGCCGCCCGCGCTCGCGCTGGAGAAGCTCGCGGCGGCGGCATCCTGCAGTGGGGGGCGGGACCCGGGGAGGGCCGGCGACTCGGCGGCGCGCGCGGAGGGGGCGGAGGCAGAGGGGCGGGTGGCCTCAGGAGGCGCGGACGTCCTGGAGGAGGAGGAGGAGGAGGAGGAAATGGAGGAGGAGGAGGAGGAGGAGGAGGAGGAGGAAATGGAGGAGGAGGAGGAGGAGGAGGAGGAGGAGGAGGAGGAGGAGGAGGAGGAGGGCTTCTGCGGCGCTCTCTGCGCCATCTCCGCAGGCACGGGGGGGCGCCTCGAGAGGCCCGAGAGCCTCTGAGAAGCCCCGCGGCCTTCTGGGGCCGCCCGCCCTCACTCGCTTGCCCCCCTCGGCGACGCGCCGCCGACCCAAAGGGGAACGGGGGGCTCTTCTTGAGTCGGGCAAGTCCCTCTACAGGAGAAATGCTCAAGAAGAGTCGAACCATAGCCCGGGGGCGTTGTTTTTCGACCATGTCTAGCCGTGTTTGAACCTTCTTGGACTATTCGTAATTTTGTGTCCAAAATCCGCCGTATGGGGGACAGGCCCGACCTCAGGGTACGGGGGGCTATTTCAGCATCTCCTCCTCTCGCTCTTCCTTCCCACCACCTTGTAATCGCGGGTGTTTCAATGATCGGCTCCTGGTGCGTGTGCCCGTAGGCCATCGTGGTCATTGGTGCGGATACACCCGCTGCAGAACCGACAGTCTGCGCACAGTCGGATTTAGGCGCAGGCGTTCAAATACGGTATCTTGGCGCGTTTCCTCCGCCAATCCGCAGTTGCACACCGTCGGTCCGCCTGTCTCCTCTTCTGCTCTTGCGATGCTCATCCTCGCCTGTGACAGGTTGTCTGCTTTTCCAGTGGGGGCGAGCAGGAGCAGAGGCTCGTTCAGCACGATGTCGCTCCCCTGCCCAAGTGGACCGAACAGTTCCTTTCTCCTCTGCCGATCCCCATGCAGCCGTGGCCGTCGGATCTGTTTTGGCGGCTTCGTTCCCCTAGATATCTCGTTAGCAAACCATGGGGGCCTGGTATACCCTCTTAATTCCGTCTCTAGCGTCGATTAGCGTCTGGGAGTGGATGAGATAGCGCCGATTTAGCGTCGGTTAGCGTCGATCAGCGTCGATTTAGCGTCGATTATCGTCGACTTAGCTTCGACTACCGTCGATTCGCAAGAGCCGACAAGATGGTACGGGAGGCTCCCATGAGTTGCCACCGAAGTTTTGGCGGCTTCGTTCCTCTTGATATCGCTGCTGTTTGTGGTGACCTCTCAACCCATGCCGTGTCTGGAGCGTCGCGGGGCACCCTCTCTCGTGTGCCATCCCCTGGGAGTGCTGGGATGGAAGCGCCTCCGCCATCGAGATCTGATTTGTGCATTCACGTTTTGACGGCCTTGGGCCGCGCCTTCATCAAAGAAGAAAAAGCGGCATAAACATAAACTTTTGGCGCTCCGCGCGGATTTCTTGGATCCGCGCTGGGCCACCTCGGCGGCGCCTCCGGCGCCGCCCCTGGCGCGCTCCGCGCGCCAGGGAGTGGGGTCCAGCGCGGATCCAAGAAATCCGCGCGGAGCGCCAAAAAGTTTATATTTATGCCGTTATTTCTTGTTCTAATTCAGTTGCTATGGAACCGAATGATGCTGAAGTGTTTGTGCGCACGCGCTGGGCTTTGAATAAGGTGCGTCAATGTGTTCAGGATGTGTGTGGAGTGCGGAATAGTCGAGCAGACATGTTCTCGAGCGTTGCTCTCCGTGGGTGCCAAGTGAGGTGGATGCAAGTCTTGCGGAACGTGAGGGCCCTGCGCAGACAGGTCTGCTGGTGGGCTTTCATAGGTGACGACAGAAGATAAGGGGCATCTGCTGCCGTGATCTGGCTAGACGTGAAACCCATGGCTTTGCTGCAAGTGCGAATGACCTTGCTTGTTGGGATCGCGGTCATTGGTGGCACATCGTGTCAACAAGAGAGAGAGAGAGAGAGAGAGAGAGAGAGAGAAAAAAGGAGAGAGAGAGTGAGACATAGAGAGAGAGAGAGGAAAAGAGAGAGATAGAGAGAGAGAGAGAAAGAGAGAGGGATATATATATATATATAGAGAGAGATAGATAAGTAAGACGATGGTGACCAGAACACACTTCGTCTGGATTAGAGCCACTACTGGGAAGCTCGCACCGCAAATCGGCGCAGTGACGTCCCACACGCGCCACACACATATCGCTTTGTTCACATGCATCTTTTTTGCCTCTCTGTGTCAGCGAGGGCCGCCTCCGAACATGTCTGTGCTCAAGCTTGAAGCGGCCCACGCCCATGCTCACTGCCCTCTCCGCTTGTCTAGGATACGCATCCCAGATCGTTGTATTGTACGTCTTGCGCTGTCCATGGGCGCCGCCTGGCCAAGCCTGTCCGAACTGTCCAGCAACTCATCCCTGTTCATCGTGTGCGGCGTGTCCAGCCTGCCCCAGTGCCCCGGCGCCGACCGTTCAGGAGTGCTCCGCTGCCGAGGCGGCTCGCTCCGAGGCCCCGAGCCCGTCTGGCCAGAGTGTCGAGTGGGTGCTATTGCTCAACGTGCTGAGTTTCGCGGTGGGAGCCTGCGCCAGCTGTGTGTTGGGCCAGACCTGTCGTGTCAGCCTGACGCGTTGTGCGGCCCACGGGCCCGCTGTGGATCACGATATCTTCAGTCCATCCCGACCGACAGGTGTGGGTGTTGTGCGTCGGCGACCCGCTCTGGCATCAGCGTCTGGTGTTGGCTCAGTTGCGGCGGCCTGTGCCGATGTCGACTGAGTCGTGGCGCCTGGTCATATTCGCCCCCGACGGCGATGTGCACGACGAAGACTACTCGGGCCTGTCGGCGGACATCGCGGCCATCCACGTGTGTTGCGATCGGGCTCGCCCTCCTGGGATCACGGCCCAGGGCAGCTACCGTGGCAGGCGCGCCCCCGCGGACGCGGAGATGGCGGCCTCCCAAACAGGTTGGGAGACCTACGCCGTGGCGGCCCTCGCCGCCGACGCGGTTGCAGCCGTTCCGCCTTTCGCGGCGCCCGCGGTTGGTTGCCTCGAGCCCCTGGTGGTGGGGGCCGCGGATGCCCAGCCGCTCCCGCTGCGGTCGTGGCAGTGCCAGGCGCGGCACGGGGCGCGGCCGTCGTGGGGGCTCCCGTCGTTGGGGCGCCTGCGGCCGCCTTCGGCGCCGTCGCCAGGGCCCCGGCGGGCGCGGCGCCCATGCGGGTGGCGGTCGAGGGCGCGGCCTTCGCTAGACGCGGCGAGGCGATGACGCTCCAGGAAAACGCGGTGGCACAGGGCGATCTAGCGATCGTGCAGGCGCTGGGGGGGTCAGGGCGTAGCCTTCCAGAACATCCACGACATGGACGCCTCGGTCTACGCTCCTCTGGAGTCGGTGAGGGATTCGCGTAGGTGTTCGTCGGCTCGGTGTTCGTGTTGGCCAGCCAGGCCGCGTCGCGGATGGAGTGACATCTGCAAGGAGCTGGTGGAGACCTTCTACCAGATCTGGACTGTCCCAGGGCCGCGCACCGTGAAGTGGTGCGCCGACTAGCTTATCGACGTTCGACGACCCTGGTGGCCCATCACCGTGAGTTCATGAGCGTGTTCAGTCTCAAGCCGAATTCCTGGGGAGTGGAAGTGCATGGCGTAACCAAGAAGAAATGTATGGCGTAACCAAATGTAAATTGCAATGCGACGCGGTGGGCCGTTCAGTCGGGGCGGGGCGGGGAGGGGTCCTAATTTTGTTAGGAAGGAGAATTCTTTTGAGGAGCTCGCAGTTGGCCGCTCCACTTCTCGCGCGCGAATTCCATCCGCCCACCCGCAACCTGTTCTGCGAAACACGTGCGGCGGCGATTGCGATGAGTGCGCGGCGTTTGCTGGTGCGTCTTCGCCGCCGCGCTAGCCTGCGCGTGCGCGCGCGCGCAGCGGGCAGCTAGTTTGGCGCGACCGACGCGGCCGCGGTGGCGCTGACATGTGGGCGCTTCCCAGCGGGCGGTTCTGGGCGAGTCGACCGCCTGGGCGCGCGCGGTATCATGGCAGCGTCGACAGAGGTAGACGCGAGGATGATAGTAGCGACGTTGGTGGCAATGTTGACAGCAGCGACGGCGCGGCCAGGGACGGCGCCGATGCCGATGACGTCGGCGACGATGGTGCGCGCGGCCGACGCGCGAGAGTGGCCCGCGTGATATTATTTGACGCGGATCGTGCCCCCCCGGCCCCCCAGCGCGCAAGGGCGTTCGAATGATGTTGACATGCGGCGCGACAGGCCCGTTTGGCATACTTTTATGAACGCGTTGAACAATTTATGGTTTTCTTGACACTTTGCATGGGCGCGACCGCAGTATTTTGAAACTGATATTGCGAACCCATGTGTTTTTTATGTGTTTCCAGGGCGCTCGATTTTGAAGTCCTTGCGACGTCTACGGTTATTGAGGGACTTCGGCATGCGCGCGCGACGACGCGCGCGCGTGCACTTCGTTCCGCTTTTGCCAGGGATTCTTGCGACCGCCCGCGCGCGACGGCGTTCGACAAATTACGACGCGCGCGCGAACTGCCCATTTGGTGGCGTTGTATGAGAATGCTGAGCAACTTCAGGCTTTTTGAAGACCGTGCAAGAGTGCGAGCGCATTCTTTTGGGAAGGTTCTCGTTGCGAAACCATTCGTTCTATATATGTAGACAAATGTTTCCGGGGCGTTCGATCTTTACGCCCTCTGGGCAACCGCGGGTGTCTGAAGGATTCCGGCATGCGCGCGCGACGACGCGCGCGTTTGAATTTTTTTTTTGGCAGGGCATTTTCATTAATTTCTGGTTTTTGATGAACGAGCGTGCGCGCATCATTCTATGGGTGGAGGATGAGCGGGGGCCGTTGCTGGTTTGGCTGGGATTAGATGAAATCACGTTTCAGAGGGGCGATGGGGCAGGGTCATTTGTAAATTGCAAAGCGAAATGGGGGCGCGGTGAAATCAGTGCGTGCGTGGGGATAGGTCCTATTACTTTTTTAGAGAAGGGAATCTGGGTTGTGTAGCCGATTTTGTGCATCTGTGCTGATCGGTATGTGTGGTGTTCAATGTATGAAGTGCAAACTGTGTTGTAAAGTCTACGTTTTTTTTTTTTTTTTTTTTTTTTTTTTTCTCCCTTCTTTTTTTTTTCTCTCTCTCTCTCTCTCTCTTTCTCTTTTTTTTTCTCTCTCTCTCTCTCTCTATATATATATATTACAAGCGAGTTGATGCATTCCATGCTCTTGCAAACGCCCCGCCCGCCCGCCCGCAATGCGGTTTGTAAAGCCCATGCGGTGGCGATTGCGATGAGTATTTGACGTTGGCTGGTGCGCGGCCGCGCCAACCCAAGCGCGCGCGCGCAGCGGCCAGCTAGTTTCGCGCGGCCGACGCGGCCGCGGTGGCGCTGACCGCTGGGTGCATCCCAGTGGGCACTTCAGTGCGAGCTGGCGATTTGGGGGGGCGCGGTATCATGGCAACGCCGACAACGGTTGACCCGATGCTGATAATACCGATGCTGGTGGCGATGTTGACAACGACAACGGCGTGGCCAGCGCGGGCGCCGATGCTGATCGCGCCGACGGCGATGACGGCGTCCTCGCGTCGGTGATGATGGTTTTGGAGAGAGTTCGACTTGCGCGCACGGCCGACGCACGAGATTGTCCTGCATGCTATTTTTTTCACACGGAGCGTACCCCCCCCAGCGCGCGCAAGGGCGTGCGAATTATTTTGGCATGCGGCGCCAGGGGCCCGTTTTGCATAATTCCATGAACATGTTGAGAACATTTTGTTGTCAAGAATTCGCAAGAGCGCGGGCGCACGCTTTTGTTGAACACTGATGTTATGAATCCATATGTTTTTCTATGTTTCGTTGGACACTCGATTTTGAAACCCTTACGACACCAAAGGTTTTTGACGGATTTCGGCATGCGTTCGCGACGACGCGCGCGCGCGTGCAATTCGCATCGTATTTTGCGAAGGATTCGTGACGGCACGCGCGCAAAGGGCGTTCGAACGATTTCGACATGCGCGCGCAAAGCCCGTTTGGTAACATTTGTTCATGCCGCTGATGCACGACCGATGGATTTCTTAAAAGATCGCAATGGCGAGCGCGCAAGTTTTTCCCAACCCTCCTGGTGTTGGGTCCTTGTTTTGAAGTCACAACGCCGCGCATCCCCTTCCTTTTTTCCTCCTCCTCTTCCTCGCACCTCCCCCTTTCTTCCTTCAGTCCTCATCGTTTTGTCCCCTCTCACCATCACCATCACCACCATCATCATCACCACCATCATCAGCTTCACCACCGTCATCACCACCACCATCATCATCACCATCACCATCGCCACCACCATCATCATTCTCATTACCGTTTCGGCGCACCCCTCACACGCTTCGTGGCCCCGGGGGGAACTCCACCGAAGGCTGTTGTGGTTGCGTCCGCATGGTGACTCGGGTCTCTTCTGGCACACACCTCACACGTTTCGTGGCCCCATGGGTAGCTCCCCAGAAGGCCCCGGTGGCTGCGTCCGCATGGTGACTCGGGTCCCGTCGGGCGCACCTTTCACACGTTTCGTGGCCCCATAGGGAGCCCCGCCAAGGGCCCTGGTGGCTGCGTCCGCATGGTGGTTCGGGTCCCTTCTGGCACACTCCCCACACGTTTCGGGGCTCTGCAGGAGCTCCGCCGAAGGCCCCAGTGGTTGCGTCCGCATGGTGACTCGGGCCCCTTCTGGCACACCCCGCACATGTTTTGTGTTCCCACAGGGAACCCCACCGAAGGCCCCAGTGGCTGCGTCCGCATGGTTACTCGGGTCCCTTCGTGCGCACCCTTCGCACGTTTCGTGGCCCCATTGGGAGCTGACGAGAAGTCGCCAGTGGCTGCGTCCGCATGGTGGCTCGGGTCCCTTCTGGCGCACCCCCCACGAGCATTGTGTTCCGCGCCGCATGCACTGCTAACCTCCGCGTGTGAATTGAGTCGCGTGACTACGTGCTGAGCCGGGCCCGATTTTCTCTGGCAAAGTATTCTGGGGAATTGCGAGCCCCACTGAACGAGTTCTTGTGCAGCGAGTTGTTTTGTTGATACCTTCCACGCGTGTGGAGAGGGTTGGGTATTTCGCCACATCAGTTTTGCGAAACCTGGTGTTTTTGTATTTTTTTGAGACTTGGTTTTGAAATCGTTACGAACCCTGAGGTTATTGAAGGATTTCGGCATGCGCGCGCGACGACGCGCGCGTGTACACTCCGTGCCGTTTTTTTGCTGGGGATTCTTCAGCAGAGGATGGCGGGTGGCCGAGACCGGTTCGCTGGGGATGGTATGAGTTCACCTTTAGGATGGACGATGGGGCAGAATCGTATGCACACTGCATTACGAACAGCTGAGCCGATAGTCCTGGGGGGGTAGAGTCTCTTTTAAGAGAGGGGGATCTATGCTGTGTGAGCCATGCATGTGGGGCAACGACGGGGTGGCGACGGCGGAAGCAAGCGCGGCGGCCGACGGACAGGCCCAGACGACGGGCGGCGACGAGGCGGCGACGGGGCGGTGACGGCGGCACCAAGCGCGGCGACCGACAGACATGCCCAAACGACGGGCGGCGACGAGGCGGCGACAAGGCGGTGACGGCGGCACCAAGCGCGGCGACCGACAGACAGGCCAAGCCGACGGGCGGCAACGAGGCGGCGACGGGGCGGCGACAGGCGGCAACACAACCGCCAGACCGACAGACAGGCCCAGTGCTTTAGTAACAGCTGAGAGTCCCTAAGCGCACACGCTGTTTCTGGAATGGATCCTTTCTATGAGGTGCCCTTAGGAGGTAATCCTTACATGGGAAGCTTATTGGACAAACCATCTTTGGCAGCATGGATCCTTGCGCGGGATTTGTTCAGTAGGATTCCCTGTGCACGGGATTGTAGTGCGCTCCCCTTTGTAAAAGGCTTGAGTGCCACTGCAGTTTTTGGAGAGCACCAGTGCGCCAATTCATTTTTCGGAGAACCCCTTATGGGCAAGCCAGACGTTCTCCCGAACTCATACCATTGCGTGCTTGCCGAACTGGTTTCTGACGTTCCAGCGTTTTACGGAAGGACCCAACGCACAATTCATCCCACAACGGGTCTTCATGGATAGAAGGTTCGTTGATAACGGGTCAAGTTTCAGTGATGGTCCTTTTAGTAATGTTTTCTTGGTCAATCATTATTTTATCTCATGTTCCGTTGGAAAAGTGTTCTTTCGGTACGAGTTCTTTAGGAATCGTTCCAGACATCGTCATCCGTTCGGATTCTTTCAGCATGTCTTCATCAAGCAAGTACTCTATGGTAGGGCTTACGTAGTGCAGGTTCCCTCGGGAGGGTTCCTGAAGTAACTCTTCCTGTAGGAAGGGTTCCGCCAGGACTCGCGGGACTCTTTTTATTCTGACTCTTTAATATTCGTCCCCTAACACGGACCACTTTTCACAAGGATTCTTTCAGTCAGGGTTCTCTAGTAATGACCCATGAGTACTGCTGCCTTCTGGACGACCAGCTGTTGCAGCATTTTCGTCAAGCCATGAGCTCGAGCTCGCTTTCGATGGACGCGGGTCTGGCTCCCATGAGGGGGAGCGGATCTAAAGCTGAATGCCCTTGGACGGGCATCGTGCGCTAGTGCTCCGCGGTCGTGCTCATGCAAAACAAATCGCCATGCCGTGAGCACGGGCGCGCCGTGGCCTTGGCGATGCGTTCGGCCAGAGTAGGACGCGCGGGTGCATGATTCAATTGAGGCGCCATTGGGCGTTATGATGTGTCAGTCCAGCGTGCGCCGTATCCGAGGTCCCAGGATACAAGTTATCATCACCGTCATCGTCATCGTGATCGTCATCGTCATCTCATTGTCGTCATCATCGCCATCACCATCAGCATAATCATCATCATCATCGTCGTCGTCGTCGTCACCATCATCACCATCATAATCATCATCACCATCATTCTCATCATAATCATCATTACCATCACCATCGTCATCACCAAGAAAACGAATCGCATGTCCGTATGATCTTGAAGGGAGCAATTGAAGGGGGGCCCCCGTAATGCTCCCGAACCTTTATGGACTCTCCCATCCTCTCCTGCCCCTTCCCCTCCTCCCTTGTCCTCGCATCCACCTCCTGCCTCCTGCCTGCCCCATGCTTGTCTCCTGGTTGCCTCCTGCCTCGCAGGTGTCATCACTTCTGTGAGCTCCTGGGGGGTCCAGCGGAGTGCGGTCCTACGCGGGCCCAATGTCGACCCCGCCTTCCTTTAATTAGTGCTGCCAGCCGCGCAACTGTCGCTATAGTGGCGAGCTCTTCGGGGAGCGGTTTTACGCGGGCTCAACCTCTACATCGCGACCAGTGGGTGCTGCGAAGTGCGCAGCCATCGCAGCTCTCGTGAGCTCCTGGGGGGGCGGTCCGGCGAAGTCGGGTTCTCCGTGGATCCAGCCTGAACCACGCGGTCCGTGGGTGCTGTCAGGATGCGGCTGTCTCCATTATCGTGAGCTCCTGGGGGGCCAGGGGAATGCGGTGCTTCGCAGGCCCGAACGAGGCCTTGCTTTGCCTGGGTGCTGCTGGGCGCGCGACATTGGCCAGTCTGCTGCGCCCAAGGGTGGTCCAGTGCAGTCGGTTCCCATGCGGACCCAATGAGGCTGTGACCGATTTGTGGCGGTGCGTCCAGCGGAGTGGCGACCCTGAGTAGGTCGCCACTTTGCTGCGCCCCTGAGATGCTAGGGACATGGACAGCTTCTGATGGTATTTGAGGCCATTTGGGCATCTTTAGCGATCGTTCGGCGACTCGGGGCCCTCTTGGCCAGTCTTGGGGGCCTCCTGGACCGTCATGGAAGCCTTGGAGAGCCCCAGGGAGTCGCCATGGCCGCCCAGGGACCCCCTGGGAGTATGGCCGGTGCGCGCAGCGAGGCGCGGCGGAGAAAGGGGGGGGGCCCCTCAGAGGATGACAGAAGCCTTGCCAGGCAGCACTTCAGCACGCCTCAACGTGCCAGGGGGCACGGTGGCGGATCAGATTTTCCACCACGCAGTTCTAACTGCACGCCGAAGTGAAGCCCTCCCTCGGGGGGACCTTCTGGGTCCGCAGGGCCTCCCTGGAAGGCCTCGGGGGCCTTTCGGGGCCTGTCGGGGCGCCGGCTGGCCTCGCCGGGCTGCTTATCGGCGGGCGCTGCGTCGTCGGGAGAGCCATCTCTGAGACCCCCTCCTCGCCTTGCCTTCTCGGGCTCCCGCCTCCCCCCCCTATTTCACCAGAAGGACGCCCTGGCAGGGGGCCCTGGCAAGTAGACCCACCGGCGACCAGCGGGGCCCACAGGCATCCCGGGCAACACAGGCACCGCGGGCACTCTCGGCGGTGGTGCCGCCAAAGGTGGGTCTTCGGCTCCTCTTGGAGCGTTTTGTGGCAGACTTGGGGGGGGGGTCAGGAGGCTGCCGTTGGCCGGTCTTTCACCGCTTGGAGCCGTCTTGATTGGGTCTTTGCTCGCATTGGGGCCGTCTTCGGTCCAGCCCAGGGGCCACTGATCGCACCGATGTTTTATCTGCGCTTGCGAACAACATGAATACAGAGTTGGTGCTAAAGCCAAGTATGTACTGTGGTAAACTTCCTGATGGTCTTCGCATACGATCGTTTTGCAAGGAATGCGTTCCACTATGAGAAACTACAAACGGGCGCGAGTCACGCCTCTCAGCTGCAGGCGCGTTGGCGGATATGTGACCGACAGTGAAAATGATGCCCACGATGATGATGTGCCTCTCTCGTTCTGTAGTCCGTTGTCACACGATTTGTTGAGTCATACATTCAGCAGAGATCCGAACAAACACGCGGGATCGGACATGAATCTGTGTCCGCGCTTGGATTCGGGCGCTATGGTGCATGCGTGCATGTGCACGCGAGTGTATGTGTGTGTGTGTGTGTGCGTGTGTGTGTGTGTGTGTGTGTGTGTGTGTGTGTGTGTGTGCATGCACTTTTCGTGGATTCTCGCGCACGGACCTGTTCGCTTGCGCGTTGCGCGTAGGTCGCGACTGGCGAGCCACGCTGGGAGACCTTGGAGCAGTACAATCTCCGCCAGAAGGAGTGCCAGCTCTTCCTGTTCTTCTTCTTCATCCTTATTTTCTTCTTATGCATGTACCACTTCTGGTCTCGACGTCTGTTGCACTGTGCTGCTCGCATCCCTGCGCGGAGTGTCACAGCTTGTGCGTGAATCGATGCGGGGTCCATCGTGTGCCCTGTGCCAAGAACTCGTGCCGTCATTTTGATTCAGCCATCCACTGTACACTGTTCGGGAGGTTCACAGGACGTCATCTGAATGGGCTCGGAGGATGAGTGTAACGACGGTGCGTGCGGACTTGTGGGGGAGTAACAGCACATTGCGGTCTCTGGAGATAAAAGGGGAGACTTTGGGCAAAGCTATCCTGTGGGAGCTCCGGGCAGAGTTATCCCACGGAGGCTGGGTGAGGCTGCCCTGAGGTTGCGGGCAGAGTTAGCCCGAGGGGCGCAGGTGGGTACGAAGGGTGGCCCGATGGGGGCGTCTGTGCAAAGGTTCACTTCAGGGGTGGTGTGTGCAGGCATGTGCGCAGTGTGCGTAAGCGACGTCTTAGCGACTGTGAGCTAGCGCATCGATGCGCGTGTCTGAGTGCGCAGAGGCCGTCAAAACCTCGGGACCTCGGGCCCGTGGGCCAGTGGACCACACTGGCCCTCGCCTCGCGAGCCGTCGGCCCGCGGGAAGCAGAGGCACCGGCAGGAGGGCGGAGTCCGCTGCATGAGCAGCAGACGCCGGGGCATCTCGTGCCCGCCTGGTTGCGGGAGAGACCCGGGCGGGTAGCGCGGAGGATGTACATTTTTCGTTTGTTTCAGGATCACGGTGGGGGGGTGGGGCATACAGGATCGTACAGGGCGTTATTTTCAGCTGCCAAGGAGTTGTCCAGGGTCCGTCTTACATTTCCATCAGGTGTAGCAAGTTTTCTTGACCTCTGGTTGCCTGCTCTTCGTCCTCCTTCCTCCTTGCAGTTCCATCTGGGATCAATCAGACCGTCTTCCCAGGAGTTTACGTCTGCTGGGTCTGTCGACACTATGTGGATGTCAGTGGCGCGAAGCACTTCGGGACTCGCCGAGACTGTCTCGGAGATAGTCCCAGTCCCTGGAATCAGGCGCCGACTCGGACAGGCTGGGCGTTTGTCTCGCGTGGCGTCTTCGCTACCACCTAGCTGGGAATGTTGTTTGTGCCCGCTCGCATGAATCACGGTATCAATGCAGCGCATGGTGTCGACTTGCAAATCTACTACAATCAAAGCGATGTTTTCCAGTGCCATGTAGGAGGAGGAGGAGGAGGAGGAGGAGAAGGAAGAGGAGGAGGAGGAGGAGGAGGAGGAGGAGGAGGAGGAGGAGGAGGAGGAGGAGGAGGAGGAGGAGGAGGGGGAAGAGGAGGCGGAGGAGGAGGAGGTCAAAAAGGCGCGATGTGACACGCTTTTGTTGCAAATGTTAGGGGCGTGTTTCCCGACAGAGAACTGCTGGCCGCAGTGCGCCCTCTCGCATCTGGGCCCGGCACCTCGCCCAGCTTCCAACGCGGCGTGCGTCTGGTCGTCTGTGTGTATGTGTGTGCGTGCGTGCGTGCGTGCGTGCGCGCGCGCGTGCGCGCGCGTGTGCGCGCGTGTGTGTGTGTGCGTGTGTGTGTGTGTGTGTGTGTGTGTGTGTGTGCGTGTGTGTGTGTGTGTGTGTGTGTGTGTGTGTGTGTGTGTGTGTGCGTGTGTGTGTATATGTGTGTGTGTGTGTGTGTGCGTGCCCGTAGCCCCCTGGATCAAGCCACGAGCGGGCCCCCTCCTCGGGGTTTCCGCACTCGAGGGGGCGCCCACGCAAGGGCCCCGCCCCCGCGCGCTGCGCCGCCTGGCCCCCCGAGCGGCGGCTGACCGGCCGGTTCCTGCTGGTGGCTGGCCTGGCCATGGACCCCGCTGGGGCCCCTCTGGACGGGAACTCGCCCACCAGGCTTCCGGGAGCGAGTGGAGGAAGTGCTCAAAGTTCGTGTCTGCGTTCCCCCAGGTCCCCTCTGAGTACCAGCTCGGGAGCTGCCGCTCTTGACGGGGCTGCGAGGACAGACCGCCTTTCCCCCGACATTATTGTTGCCTCCCCATTCTTGGTTGACGGGGCTCCCGTTCAGCCCCTTGGTCTCAGCGTCACTTCAACCCAATGCAGCCCCGGACAGAGCCATAGAAGAGGACCGCCCCCCCCGCCTTCTGGAGGGCGCAGTGAATCTCGCTGGAGTTGGCGCGTCGACCAACTCCCAAGGGCACGGTCAGGCAACCGCCAGCCGCCTGGAGCACGGACGCGTGCATGTGCACGCGCCACCAGGGCGCACCTTCGATACAGCACCTTGTTGCTCTTCCTGGCCAGCAGGATCGGCCCCTTGAAGGCCCCTCCAGGTTGCTTAAGGATAGCGGCGGAACTCCCATCCAGCGCTCGAGAGCAAACGCGACCTTGGTTCTGATGCTCCTCCTTATCAGGGAGCCCAGGCCCAATCTGGCCCGCTACGGGAGCCCTGGTCACATCAGTGACATCCTCGAGGCCACGTTGGGCATCTGCCTCCCCTACAACCACGCGCGCCTTCCCGTGCGAGATAGCTTCAGGCGGGCCCACAATCCGGCGGATGCTGTTTCCCGCAGACTCAACGGGCGCTTAGAGGCCTTCGTCAAGGCATGCTCCAGGCTAGTCGCCGTGGCGCACCGCCACCCTGGCATCGAAGGGGAACAGGCCACGTTGCCTTGGAAGGACGCCTCCCTCGGGCACTTCCCCCCGGAGCCCGCTCTCCAAGCCCTTGACCGGCTCGTCACCCCCGCGGGCCTCTCCCTGCCTGCAGACCCACGGCTGCGCAGCCTGCGCCCTCTCTCGGGCCCTTCTTGGGTCCAACGTGGGCCTCCCACCTGCAGGCCGCCAGCCCGCCACCCCGCAATGCCTCGGAGGAGGGCTGTCGGGGGCGGGGAAGGATCTGTTTGCCGCCGGAGGAGGAGGAGGAGGAGGAGGAGGAGGAGGAGGAGGAGGAGGAGGAGGAGGAGGAGGAGGAGGAGGAGGGGGAGGAGGAGGGGGAGGAGGAGGAGGAACCCAGCCGCAGGCCTCGAGAGCCTCCGGCGGCCCAGCGCGGGAGGCCGCGGCTCGCACCCCGCCCCCTGCAGGCCCCGCGGGCGGGGATGGCCCAATCGCTGGCCGGGCGCAGGCCGAAGCGCACGCCAGCGATCGAGTAGGGGATCGACTACAGTATTTTTCCTCGTCGAATCTTCAAACAACTACGTAGCATTCCTCATGTATTCGACGGAACAACCAAGTCTGGGGTGAATCAATTATGTAGTCGATCCCCTACTCGAAGTGAGAGGGTGTCATCCCGCGGGAGACGCGGCGCCGCCAAAGACGCCGACCCTGGTGACTCCAGCGGGCCTCACCGCCAGCCCCCACCTGAGCAAGCCGAAGGAGGTCCACCGAAGGACGACCCCACCACCGAGGATAGTTCGGAGCCCTCACCGACACTGAGCTCCACCACCTGGTGCAGGGTCAGCTTCACTGCAGAGTTCGGGGAGGCCAGAATCGCCGACCTGACAAGCCTCACGGCGACGAGGACCGCACCCGGCTCTTCCTGCAGAGGTGGAGGCGTGTCATACGGGAGCGGGTCCCAAACCACTCCGCCAAACCCCGCGGCGCCCTCTCCCTGGACCGAAGCGTCCCCATCGACTTCCTCAATACCCCACGCGCGGACGACGTCGCAGTGGCGCCTCCCGCCCAGGTGCATGCGACGTTGCTTCGAGCACCGTGCGACGCGCATGCGACGTTGCTTCGAGCATCGTGCGAAGATAAGTCTGAGTTAGTTGCGCACGTAGCTGCATGCACAGTGTAGCACAGGCGAGAGCAACGGGCTTGCGTCGAGGCTCCCCAGACTCCGCAGCCGTCTTCAGCCTCAGAGGCCCCGCGAGGGGCCGTGCCAGCAGCGCGCATTCACTGCACGCGCGCCGAGCCCAGGAAAAAGTCTCTGTGGGGGGGGGGGGACGGCCCCACTTCACGGGGCGCTCCCGGTGCGGGCAACACCCCCCCGACCGGACCAGCCTCGCAGCTCCCCCTCGCCACCACGGGCCGGGTGGGGGGCGGCGGTCGGGGCCGCGGCGCCGCGCGGCGTGCCCCGGCCTCTGCGCCAGCGTCGTCGGCGGCTGGCCGCGCCAGGCCTCGCCCCCCGCCTGCCGCCACCGACACCGCCTGCCGCCACCGCGCGGCCCCTCTGCAGACGCTGCCCGCACGCCCGATCGAAGAGCTTCCAGCACGAGGCCGACGTCGTGCAGGTGCCCGCCTGCATCCAGCTCGGCCTCCAGCAGGCCGGTCTCTGGCAGGATTTGTTTCCTCCAGAGGATGAGGGTCCCACAGGCAGAATTCGCACTCTGCTCAAACGACCAGATCAATAGCTCCTTGCGGCGCGCGTGCGGCCAGCCCAGCACAGGGCCCTGCGGGTCCCGCGCACACCCCGCCTCTGGGCAGCCCCCGCGGGTGCGGCCCGGACACGGCCCTTCCTAGTCCGCACCTGCTCGAATGCCTGGCAGCCGCCAGGCGCGCGGCAGGCAGGCCGGACTCCTGGCCCGAGTTCCTGCGCCTCGTCGCCACCATGGGCGCTCCTCCCCCCCTGCACTCCGACCCTCGTTCCATCGACCCAGGTCTGCGGGAGCCATGGTGCAGGGCTGGGAATCTGGGCGCCTTGCTGGCAGGCGGCAGCTGCCCCTCGAGCAGCGGCTCCTCCTCCTCCTCCTCCTCCTCCTCCTCCTCCTCCTCCTCCTCCTCCTCCTCCTCTTGTTCTTCTTCTTCTTCTTCTTCTTCGTCTTCTTCTTCTTCTTCTTCTTCTTCTTCCTCCTCCTCCTCCTCCTCCTCCTCCTCCTCCACCTCCTCCACCTCCGCGATCTCGCCCAGCGCCTGGTCAGCGATCAGCCTGGGGGCAAAGCTCCCGGCGGCCCCTGTGGGGTGCCGCTCCCGCAACCTCTGCCTCCGCTCCCCCAGGCCCGCCGAAGCTGGTGTGGACGCGGGCCGCCCCATCGTCGCCCCATCGTGCCGGCGCGACGTGAGGTGTCTGGCGTGACGATCCCTGGCTTTGGACGCCCGAAATGGGCACGGAAAGAATGGGTACAATGCCCAACAACGGATGTTCTCCCAAACCAACAGCGGCCGCTGTTGGGCAGGCGGCCCTCTGTCTCAAATGTACACGGGCCGCGGCGACACCGACAGCGAGTCCTGTTCAAAATGAGCAAGAACTGCCGTTGGGCATTGTACCCATTCTTTCCGTACCCATGTCGGGCGCCCAAACTGGCCGCTCTCCCAGCGCTTCCCTGCAGTAGGAGCTCGACCACAGGAAACCTTCCACGAGAAACCCAACCCTGAGACCCCAGGACGTCCCCCGATTTCTGGTGGGAGCGTCGCCCTTTTCCGGCAGCAAAGCCATCGAGACCCACGAAACCCGGGGCTCCCTGGAGGCAAGCAGGGTGCTTCTTGGCATGGGCTTCCGCCGCTTCCCCGTCGGAGCTCCACGGTCGCGGGAGTGCACTCCTCGGCGGCGTGCCGCGCCTGCGGGTGCCGCCCCGGACGAGGTCGGCGCGCTCACCCGGCGCCCGTGGGCGGACCCCACGAGCGACCCCGGGCTCGCCAGTGGGTCGCCCGGCGGCCCCGGCCGATGCCATACAGTGCCTCACCACCCACCAAACCACCCCAACCCAACCCGAAGGCTCAAATTTACCGTCGATTTCCAGTGGGAGGGGGGGTCGGGGAACATGGAAAAAACACGCATGGAACCGTTACCCCCCCCAACCCGAAATGCGGGTCTTCGGGTTGGGTTGGGGTGGTCTGGTAGGTAGCCAGTGCCGTTTTTAATGCATGCTCCGCGTGCGGGTCATGGTATTAAACATGCAGGGATTCGGCATTCAAAGCAGCGATGCGTTCCTGCATGAATGTAGTCATACACTGACCATGAATGACAAAAATCCTATATCTTAAAAAATCCTGTGTCTGAAAAACTTCAGGAGGAGAAAAAACACACAGACACAATTAATCGGCGATTCCCCAGAAAATATGGGAAAACATGGGAAGTGGTGGGGAAGACAAAACCCAGAAAATATAGGTAAATAGGGGGAATCTTTTTATTTGTGTGTATGTATTTG